TGTAAAGAAGATTCTAGTATATTTTTAAGGGGTGCATAGGGCGCACCCCGAAAAAAAGCAATAGATTTCTTTAAAAACAAAATTATATATAACACACTTCACAACAAAAGCTCAGTCCCCCCCCCCCACCCCCCCCCCCCACCCGGAAATAATTTACCCTGTATTTGCCGAAGCACGTGAATTATAATTCATTTATGTGACAATTATTAACCAATTGTATGCATAAAAAGACTATAAATGATTCTTCGTTTCAACATTATTTGTAACACAATCTTGTGATATAAGAAAATTATGTTCGTTTATAAAGAAAATGAATTAACTGTGCTCCCCGGCCTAGAATTCCCATACTTCACATTTATAGCAACGCACTAAATTTTGTATTTTATTTTTCACGCCTGCCTTATCTATCTATTATTTTGTATTAATCACCCATATGTTCCTGTAATCTTTATATACCATAATTGTAAAATGGTGAAGAGATTCAAATGAATGAATGAAAAGGACAAGACCGGGTTCTTGGTGAATTTTCTTTTTTAAAAAATGTTTAGTATTGCCCCCTTTAAAAAATGTATTGAATCAAATACCTCTAAATTGATGTACATATAATTAATTACTTTGAACATATTTTATGTCCATCTTTATTTTTTTAAAAAAGGAAGAAAAACAAACAAATATGTAATACATTACCGAGTAATTTTATTTAATTTGTTGTTTCCGTATTTTTATTTTATACCACCGGTAATATATGCGAATAATATTACTTACAAACAAAACAGAATGACATGTTGATCCATCAATATCCATATTTAAAATAAAATGACTTCCGAATGAATCCTACACGTTTTTCACACGATTCTTGCACGAAAGTCGCACGTTTCTCACAGGGTTCTTACACGAAAGTCGCACGTTTCTCACACGCTTCTCGCACGCTCGCTACACGGTTTGCACGAAACGCTTTGGAGCTTACACGAAACGCTGCACGGTTTACACGAAACGCTACACGGTTTGCACGAAACGCTGCACGGTTTACACGAAACGCTACACGGTTTGCACGAAACGAAAAGCGCACGAAAGTCACACGCTTTTTTGGGGTAGTAGCACGTTTCAGGGTCTGTAAATCTCAACTATTCTTGACCTTCACTTTGACCTTATACATAATTTCAACTTTAAAAAACCTTATATTTCTCTTGGTCCATCTTATATAATTTTACAGAGTAACTTCATACAACTATATACATGAGAGCATTTCAACTGTACCTATTTAAGAGATCAAACATAATATAAATTTGTTGAGAATGAGTTTAAACAAATGAGTCCATTTTAGGTGTTTGATATATAAGATGATTCAACACTATATGTCAAACTACAAAGACAACTGTGCTAAATATATCAATTCTGTATATGAAAACACAATGAAAATTTTTTTTTTTTTCATCGTAATTTCATACTTATAATTAAATCGATCGTCTTTTTCCATTGAAATTATAAAACTGCAACACGTGTCAAGTTAGAACGTACATGCAAAAAGTTGGAAAAGCCACGATTAAACTTGGTAAAGCCAGATTACCAACTTTTAAGCTAGAAAGCCAAGATAAAAGCTAGAAAAGCCAAGATTAAAGTTGGAAAAGCCAAGATTAAAGTTGGAAAAGCCAAGATAAAAAGTTGGAATTACCAACTTTAAAGTTGGAAAAGCCAAGATTAAAGTTGGAAAAGCCAAGAAAAAAAGTTGGAAAAGCCAAGATAAAAAGTTGGAATTACCAACTTTAAAGTTGGAAAAGCCAAGATTAAAGTTGGAAAAGCCAAGATAAAAAGTTGGAAAAGCCAAAATAAAAAGTTGGAATTACCAACTTTTAAGTTGGAAAAGCCAACTTTAGAGTTAGAATTACTGATTTCGAAGTGATTTATATTGGGGAAAGGAACGGGTCAATTAATAAGAGGAGGTCAAGGCATAGGTTTGAAATTTATGCTGGGGTCCATCAACATTTTAATGCGCCTGAACACTATTTCATTTTATTGAGAAATAGAGTTTTGGAAAATATGCCATTCTACAAATAGTTCCATTTAAGTATTCCATAAGTATAGGGAAAATCTTTAAAAACTATATATGTATCCTCAAGAAAAGCAAAGTAATGATTACCTATATTTATTACTCCAGCATGCTAGAGGTTCACGGCGAGATACTTTTGACTTGGCGCCGCGTTACCTCTACCATCCATTGTAAAAATTCTCACCGCTGAAACCCCAAGTTGAAATAAATTGTTAAATTAAAAATGCGGGCTTTAAACATTAAAGAATGACACGAAACAATAAAATATTCGCTTTCTGCGATAAAACGTACACATAAAACAATGTTAATTTCTCGTATTAGCGATAAATCAATTATTTTTAAAATCGAAGCAGAAATTAAAACAAGTCGTCTGTTTGAAATTCCGGAGTGGAATGCAGAAAATCTGACGAAACGAAACTAGTTTACTGAAAGTTTCGTTTTCTGATGAGCAATCCACAAAATTAACATGAAGTCAAATCGAAAGTAATTCTGGTGATGAATTGAAGTAATGACGATTTTGATTAATAAACAATGACGCATACTGAATAATTTATGATTTCTTGTGACTTTTATACCCCATAAAAATACGTAGGTACCTGATAATTACTTGTTTACGGTTTATTTCACGCATAATATGTTCCGCCCAAAATCTCTGGCGGAACGAGCTCGTTAGAAAATGGCCTTCGGATGTAAGAGTGCGAGGTATATAAGGAGCGTAGGGACGTTAACCCGAGGCTCTTACTTGTAGGAGTACTTTATTTATATGGAAGCATCCTCAGATATTATAGATTCAATTTTGTTCAAACCATGGCCCTTAGGAGTTGGGTGCGGCCAGAACAGGGGATCAAAGAAAAATATTTAAACGAAAAATTTGTAATAACAACTTATACATGATTAGTAATGTTTAAGTCCAAGCATCCTCAGGTAGTGTAAATTCATTTTTGTCATTTTTCTGAAGAACAGTAGGGCCAATGTGACTCAGGTAAGCGTTGTGGCCCATGATCCTCTTATTTTAATTCCTAGCACATGATCCATGCTCCGAAAATTAAAGTATAGACTTACAGAGTGACAAAAAAACCAACGGAGAGACAGACCAAATGTATTCAGTTATCACAACACGTGTTTCTATCGAGCATGTGTTAACCTGGTGTTTGCATTGTAGACTACTAGTCTGATCGGGTTATTGTTTTAATAAAATACATGTTTTACAGGTATTCTAAAACTTACTATAGGAAAGAGTTTTCCGGATAAGAAAGCACTTCTCCCCCCCCCCCCTTTCCCGCAACAACACCCTCTTTTATTGCTTTCTTGTTTTTGTCTTTGTTGATAGCAAAGATTTCAAATACCATATAAGCAGAAATTTTAGCGCGGATTTAATTTTAGCTTTTTTATCGAGGGTGATGATAATGTGAATGAAGTAGTAATGAAAATTGAATATCGCTAACAGCTCATTCCCACATTGAAGGTTACTGCAATCTTTCCATCCAGTGTTTTTTTTTTTTAATTTTTCCCCGATTTCACCACGATCGGATAAGATTTTTAGCAATGATCTCCACAAACTTACTCTTCTTTGACATATATAACTTTATTAAGATCTAGAGTTTCTCTCTATAAGGTAAGGTTTGTACATGAGTCAGACAAATTACAAAAATAAGAAATTAATGTTACATGCTGACAATTTAGCTTTGGTCGAAATATTGAATCAAAAACATCTAAAAATAAAAGGATAATAATTTTGATGAATTAGCATTGTTCTATTTGAATGTAAATAATATACGGTATCAATTTTGATGCACCAGATGCGCATTTCGACAAATTATGTCTCTTCAGTGATGTTCAAGCCGAAGTATATAAATTATGGTAGAAAAGAACTGAAATAAACAGTTAATATTATAGTCAGTGAGTATTCTGTGATTTTGGGGAAGGGATACTCCGTGTATCTCGGAGTTAGATATCTTGTGTTTTTATACTGGGTTTAAAATTTATTACAAAAACAATTGCCTGTGATACAAAGGGAGAAATAACAATAACAATCGACGAAATTACTATAAATAGAACGCGTATCACATTTATGTACATAACGTCCAATGAACCCTAACTCCGTCACCAGGGCCCTAGCTACAATACGTCCACGTATTAATTAGAATTTTTTTCCAGTTTAGTTTTTTTCTCCCTTCATCTAAAACTTCTAAACATAGAAAAATAATATTTTGAAGATTTAAAACAGTATTAAATTGTATTTTAGGAAAAAGTCTCAACAACAGAAAAAATAACGTAAATATAACGTATTTTATATGTTATAACGTCACACTAAGTAATCTCCAACGTGTAGCGTATTGGGGCAAATTGAGACGAAAAATAAAATATTTTTAGCTGTATTCAGTATGGTATGTCATATTAATCCTTTGGCAAAGACCTTCATAAATATGACTGACATGTAAAAATGAGCATATTGATGCACATGTTGGAGGTATCGATGGAATAGCGCATAAGGGAAAAGTACTTACTGATTTCACATAAAATATGATAGATACAATAGATCACGTGTAATTGTTATTTATTTTTAACGCATTTTTGAAATTGACTGTACTAATTTCTCGACATTTGATTGTAGATATCAAGCATGTAAAAAAGACTCACAGTCGCATTCGTTTACAAACAGCGCGGAGTTTCCCGAAAGTGACGGAGTTGGGGGTGGGGTGGGGGGGGGGGGTGGCGATAATCTAAACAACCGCTTATTAAACGACTTTTCCTTACATAAACATCAAGTACATTGTAGATCTATATTTGAAGAAAGCACGAGGAGGGGGATTCACTTAGGTCGAACAGGAAATTGGGGAGATGGAACCACTCGGATTCCTTCAAACTGTCACATCAATCAGTACTATCAGTACTTTGATTTTTCTGCGCGCATTGCTGATCGGGATCGGCATTTCGGGTTTTGTGCACAAAGCGAATCAACAACAGACTGAACAGTTTGTGGTCTCTAGTGTACATTTTTTTCTATATTTGCAAGGATGTAAGGTATATATATGCTGAATAAGATACAAGAAAATGGTGTTTTCTTGGATATTGTTTTTCATAGCCAAGACCTTTGTTAAATTTTGCATCAGCATGTGGTACAGGTAAATATAACATTTTTGGCAGGCGGTAAATCTAGTAGTGCCCCAGGGATTTATCAGCCTATTTTGGGAAACGCCATTTTTAGGGAATTGGGAAAAAATTATCGGCTACTTGCTGAAATTGGGAAAAATACAAAATCTTGCTAACATCATGCACAGGGGCTTGTTCACGGCTAGTTAGAATAATCTGTGTCTCGGGACAAGCCCTCACCACAGTTAGAATACGTCCCATATACTTGCAATGTAGCAAATCAGAGTGGATCCACTCCGAAATGATTTTGAAGAATACAAAAGGAGTTGCAATGAAAATAACTACCAAATTAATCATAACAAACCTTTTTGAGATTGTATATGCCTTTTAACCTAAAAATTAATCCATATATATATACGAAAATTCAACTCATTTTCTCAACGTTTTTTCCTCGCTTCAAATTTAACGCCATGTTGACATTCGGAACTCTCTGAATTCTTCATAGAAAATGCACAGAGGTCGAGTTATCGCCCGTGTTTATTTTGCTACATTGCGAATACACGGAACGAATTCTATCGTTAAACTGGGTCTGTAGGACAGCATCATTTTAACGATATAGAATGTTCTATCTAGCTCCCGGCGTGTAATAATTATTTAAAAAAAAAAAATCATATATGCTAATACTAAAACAACACAAGGGAGGACGCCATTTTGGACCCCTTCCTCGCTTCAACCTCTGTTTTCGTTATATTTTCCCGTATTTTACTGACTCACCACCTCGGATCTGTCAAGTAATAATTCTTCTAGGACATAATGCTTAAATTTTCCTCTTGGAGCCTCAACAATACATATTTCAGACTAATAATAATCCAAACTCGCACTTTAGGACAGTTGATAGGGACAAAAAACGAAAACACATTTGCTTTGAACATTGAGCTTTGAAATATTTAGTACAATTTGAATGTTGGCAAGGACATTTGTTTGATTATCTTATTTCCTAGGGAAAAAAGGGAAGGTACCTTAATATTTAAAAAAAACCCTTTATTTTTTCAAACCTTGATCAGCAGTATAAATCGAATGTTTTGAACTCATCTACCTCTTATGACATCACAAAGAAATTATGTCAATCGTTTATGACTAAACAATGAATTTAAGGACACATGACAAACCTGTTTTTACACAGAATTAAATATGCCTTGCTTTGGTAGTGTTATATGAGGGAAAACATTTGCAAATGTAAATATTGTGGAATACACTATGAGATCGATCACTGTAGATTTTGAAATGACATGAAAGAAGTTCTGCTGAAAATTATAATCTTGCTATTAAACATTCGGTCACCCAGCTGATAAAATTTAGGATATTCTAGTTCTTGTAGATATTTTCTGCTAATCCTACTCCTCTAATAATAAATTCAACCATATCTCTTATAAATATTACTTTTGGAAGTTTAAACATTTTGAATAAGTTTACTTACTTTTTGAAGTGCAAACAATATGGCAATACATTGTACTTTCGGCATACACATTGTGAAATTTAAAGCCTTCTTGCCTTTATTGCAAAAGAATGGCAGTAATTTAGATATAATGTAAGGTTATTGCAATACCAGTTAAGTATTAGTCTTTGCACTTTGTAGGGAAGGAGATGTGAACAGCAGAAATCTGGTTAGTAGGGTCACCTTTAAAATATTTTTTTTTTCATATCCCAATTTAAGATGAAAAAATTGAGTCAGTAGATAGGTTGGAAATTTTTCCCCCAGAAAATTTCACCCACAATGCTGATTTTCAGAACCTATTCTTAACTGCATTAAAAAAATTAATGTTTCTTGGAGGTTAAGGACATTCAGGCAAGGTTCCTGGTTATCGTATAGCCTTTTTCAAGAACTATTGAGTAGGTTAAATTGTACTAAATAGGCTATATTCTAGATTGTTTAACATATCAAGCCAACCTTCCTTTTTAGATTTTGTCAAACTAGTGTTTCTGTCATGTAAGTGACTAAATTGATTGAGACACATTGTCATAAAAATCTTGGCATGGATTTATTTTAATTTCTATTCAAAGTTACTAAAATCTGCTTCCATCATACAACCTAAGAACTGATCTCATTTGGTCTACCTTTCAGCGTATGTCACATCTTTGCCCTTCCCAGCATACTGAGCATAATTATGGTAAATGATGACCTGGTGGCTCTTTGTCCGCTGAATACAATGTACAACAAAGCTATTACTACTTATATTTGATTCTATCCGTTGAAGGAAGTACATGTGCTTTTGTTTACCTCTATTACCAGGTCCAGCACAATCTCTTGATTTAGCTACCGTATATACTCGCCTATAAGTCGGTCCGCCTATAAGTCGGATGTAATTTATAAGCTTATATTAGAGGAATTGACCCTCTAAAATACCAGTCATTTTATAACTCGCCTATAAGTCGGACAAAGAGTTTTGAACCAAAGTTTAACTCCCAAAAAACCAACTTATAGGCGAGTATATATGGTATATAGCTTTTAAAAGCTATATAGCTTTATTAAGCTATTTAAAATAGCTTGATCAAGCTATTTATGTGCAGTTTTTCAGAAAAATGTTTTTTGTAAGAAAGAGACAAAAAGTTGCAAGTATTTGATTATTCATATATGTTCTATGGGCTATCAAAACAACAGCAGAAATCAAAGATAGTTCTATCATTGCAGCATTTGAATACTTTTAAGCAAAAGATGAATTTCTATTGTTTGAGTAACTGTGCACTACCTTGTGTGCGTTGAGGGGTGGATAAGTATGATTGCTTCTCATTGTACTGAATTTTTACCAATCAATTGCCTTGTTGACCATAATTGGCTTCTTTTATAATTTCAATGAAGAAGTAACTGTATCAATTGCTTTATATAGCCCCAAAACTTTTAGAACTTTGAGTACAAAGTCTCTTAAGGAGACGCAATTTGATGAGTGATTTTTACATGCATTATTTTCAGAAGAGTTCAAGGTTGAATATTATCACTGCACCAAGGTGCGACTTTTTGTGCGTGCTGAGAAAATAACACATTTAAGAGAAAAGTGTGATAAAATAGCTAAATCAAGCTATTCTGAATAGCTTATTAAAGCTATATAGCTAAATCAAGCTATATAGCTAAATCAAGAGATTGTGCTGGACCTGTTAAACAAAACTAAATTTGGCTTCCATGAGTATTAAGTATTTATACAACTTAGGGTAATACATGTGTGTATGAGACAGAATCTGTTTTTGGAGATTATAAACCTCCTGCAAAAAATTATACTAAGTACACATTTTCTCAAAGTCCCTTTTAATATGTAAAAATGCATTCAAAATATATATTTCTATCTGAAATATATGCCTACAGTTCTTATCATTCACTCGTAGATCAAATGAGTAGGTGGAAATAACTTAACAAATTCATATTATTACACTATATCACCATTTTCAGAAAAACGGAGGAAATGAAATTCAGATTAAAAGTCGGCGATGTTTACTAACAGTATTTTTAAAGGTGTTATGACTGTAGCTTTGCTAAATGAAATCATTACCGGAAAATTACAGATAATCTGAGAATTTTACTTATTTTTTTCCAAGATAATTAAATATAAAAGCATTGTTCACAATTGGAAAAAAATACTGCCAAACTGGGAAAAATTGAACTCATTTTCAATTGGGAATGGGGCCGAATTTTGGCAACTGAGAAGGTACTGATAAATCCTTCTGCCCACTCCTGACTCCTAACTCTCGGTTCTTCATACTGCTGTACAGAATAGCTCCTACTTACCAGACTTATTTTCTATGTTGAAGTACATTCATATCATCAATCACTGGCGGATTAAATTCTTGTAGCTGCAGATCTGTAGCTCACTTGTCTAAAAGAATTAGAATGAACGACCTAAAGCTACAGTGCCACCTAATGAAAATAAGTGTATATTTATTGCACACAAAAATGTGCTTTGTTTCTCGATTTATTTCTCCAAATATTCATACTCTCTATCAAAATATTACTAGCCGTGTGTTCCTAACATATTCTCTTATTATTTCAACAATAAAATATTCCCCATAACTGTTGTTAATAGCCCTCCTGGGCCCAAAATTGAAATGTTGAAAATTTCACATATTTAGCTGTCACTTTGGGTGGCAAGACAATTTGGTCCAAAGCGCTTTGTGCAGATGTCACTAACAAAAGTATTTGATAGAGGTCAAAGGAATTTTATTGAAATCAAGCTTCTGTGCAGTTGAGGAAAGAGTTTGGAGAAGTAAATGCAGAACGAAGCACATCTTTAGTGTGCAATAATTAAATTTTGTTTATGGGTGGCACTGTAGCTCTCCAATCTGTCATTTTTTTTTCTTCCTCTTCTTTTTATTATGCCCCCGGATCAAAAGATCCCGTGGGTATATTGTTTTTGTCCTGTCTGTCTGTTTATCTGTTTGTCTGTCTGTCTGTCTGTCTGTTGTCAACTTTAACCTTTCCCATAACTTTTGATTGGTTGGAGCTATGACTTTCATATTTCACATGTGTATTCCTTGTGGCAAGACCTTTCTTTGGGTACCATCATATTTGACCTTTTGTCCTTGACCTTGGAGTTTGACCCACTTTTGCAAAATTTTATAAGACTTTAACCTTGGCCATAACTTCTGAACAGTTGGTGCTTGGGGTTTCAACCTTGGCCATAACTTCTGAACAGTTGGTGCTTGGGGTTTCAAACTTCACATGTGTATTTTTTGTGACAAGGCCTTCCTTTGGATACCAACAACTTTGACCCTTTGACCTTGACCTAGGAGTTTGACCTACTTTTGAAAAACTTTAACCTTGGCCATAACTTTTGAATGGTTGGAGCTAGGGCTTTCATACTTCACATATGTAATCCTTGTGACAAGACCTTTTTTTGGATACCAACCACTTTGACCTTTTGACCTTGACCTAGGAGTTTGACCTACTTTTGAAAAACTTAAACCTTGGCCATAACTTTTGAATGGTTGATGCTAGGGCTTTCATGCTTCACATATGTAATCCTTGTGACATCACCTTCCGTTGTATACCAACCACTTTGACCCTTTGACCTTGACCTAGGAGTTTGACCTACTTTTGAAAAACTTTAACCTTGGCCATGACTTTTGAATGGTTGGTGCTAGGGCTTTCATACTTCACATATGTAATCCTTGTGACAAGACCTTCCTTTGGATACCAACAACTTTGACCTTGACCTTGACGTTTTACTTACTTTTAAAAAACTTTAACCTTCACCATAACTTTTGAACAGTTGCAGCTAGGGCTTTCAAATTTCACAGGTATATCCCTCGAGACAAGACCTTCCTTTGGGTACCAACATATATTATTTTTTGGCCTGGATTTCGACTTGCATTTGAGAAACTTTAACCTTCGCCATAAGCTGCCATACGTGGGCATCAGTGTTTCACAAACACATCTTGTTTTTTTTTTTTTTTTTTTTTTTTTTTGAGAGCTACATTCCTGCAGCTATTAAAGAAAGGGGCATACAGGGCGAGAACAATTCCCTGCTCTTGGACTATATATTTCTCATTTTCAAAGTTCACAGAAAAGTTATATTTTTCTAAAATAATGTTTCTGTAATGTCATCTTCCACACATTTGATTCAGTTATTTTATTGAATGACCTTTTGATTGATAATTTGTTTTTGAAGTTTACAGTAAAGCATATTTAGTGGAAAATGGGTTTATTAGAGCCATAAAAAAATGATTTTTGAATATGAATGGGTCAAGTCTCCATTCTTCATTAACGTTTTTATGACTGAAAAGTAAATGTAAAATTATTTCATGTTGCAAAAAAATGGAGTCTGAACCCATTCTATATGAAAATCGAGCATATCTGAAAAAATTTTAAGCTTCAACAAACTCATTTATTTAAATCACACTGACAACAAACAAGACAAGCAGACATCGTAGTGTAGTGGTTAATACGTTCAGTCTTATGCCTAACTGTGAGCTTTGGAGAGAGTTCAAATCATGCATGAAGCTTTTTTTTTTTCTTTTTCACATACCTTAAAAACATTAGTGAAAAATAAATTATTTACAATAATTTATTAAACAAAATATAGGGAACAGATGTGTAAAAGATTATATTGACAATATAATTTTTGAAAAATATAACTTTTCATGAACTTTAAGATTTGAAAAATGTCTTCTCTTAGAGCGGGGGATCGTCCGCACCTTGCACGCCTTCATTCTTTCCAAAAACTAGGTTACATATGTATACCTGTAAAGAAAAAAAATTGCTATAAAATTAGAATGAGCAAACTAAAATTTGTTTAAAATTGAAAAAAGATAAATTTACAAAACAAAGCATTCGGCACTATTGACCTGCAAAAGCAGCAGGATTTTACTTTTCAAGCAACTGTTATTGTTGGAGAAATAGTTTCTTTAATTAACTATACATCCAAAATACAGACCTGCCATCAGTTTTTATTAGCTCACCTGAGCTGAAAGCTCAAGTGAGCTTTTCTGATCACCCGTTGTCCATCGTCCGTCCGTCTGTCTGTAAACTTTTCACATTTTCAACTTCTACTCAAGAACCACTGGGCCAATTTTAACCAAACTTGGTACAAAGTATCTTTGGGTAAAGGGGAGTTTTAAATTATTAAAATAAAGGGCCAAGTCCCCTTACAAGAGGAGATAATCAAGAAAAGACAAAAATAGGGTGGGTCATTAAAAAATCTTCTTCTCAAGAACCACTGGGCCAAAAAAGCTGAAACTTATGTAGAAGCATCCTGGGATAGTGTAGATTCTAAATTGTTAAAATCATGACCCCTGGGGATAGGGCGGGGCCGCAATAGGGAATCAAATTTTTACATTGAAATATATAGGAAAATTTTTTTAAAATCTTCTTCTCAAGAACCACTGGGCCAGAAAAGCTGAAACTTATATGGAAGCATCCTGGGGTAGTGTAGATTCTAAATTGTTGAAATCATGACCCCTGTGGGTAGGGCGGAGCCACAATAGGGAATCCAAGTTTTACATTGAAATATATAGGAAAAATCATTAAAAATATTCTTCTCAAGAACCACTTGACCAGAAAAGCTGAAACTTATGTGGAAGCATCCTGGGGTAGTGTAGATTCTAAATTGTTTAAATCATGACCCCCGGGGTTAAGGCAGGGCCACAGTAGGTATTACAAGAGAGGAAATCTGGTAAAGAACAGCATGGCCAAAGTTGTTCAGGTGAGCGATGTGGCCAATGGGCCTCTTGTTACCAATACATTCTTAGGACAATAACCTGCAAAAGATGTCAATTTCATTGTATTCAAAATTCTTTTACATGTATCCTCAAAAATGAAAAACAATGATTTTGTTAACACATGAAAATAGTGATTGTGGATCGGCAAGAATTAAATGGACTTTCACATCCATTGCTGGTGAAGGCAATTTGAAGAATTTCTGGGGAAATAGTGACAACATCATTCGTCATTAGCAGTGAAATGTTTTAAGTATTTTTAGGATAAAATACTCTCAGATTAATTGTTTAGGAATACAAGTCCAAAAGTGGGCACATTGTGAATGATCTGCCATCCTATTCATTTTTTGATGGAGTTATGCTGCTAATTGTAAGTACGTAGATCTGAAAGCAGTAAAGTTTGAATGTTTTTACATTATTAGGTTGAAAATAAGTACATGTACTAAAATGTCCAACTAAAATGAGACTCTTTATAATTTCAACCTCAAGCGAGCTTTTCTGATCAAAATGTCCATTACCCCTGGGGGTAGAGTGGGGCTACTATAGGCATGGGAATATCTGGGAAAATCTTTAAAAATCTTCTTTTCAAGAACAGGAAAGCCAGGATCAGTCATATTTATATGGAATCATCTATAATAAATTGTTTAAATCATTACCCCCAGGGGTAGGGTGGGGCTACTATAGGCGATCAAAGTTTAAATAGGAAAAATCTTTAAAAGTCTTCTTGTCAAGAATAGGAAAGCCATGCATAATCATATTTATATGGAAGCATCTTCAGATATTGTAGATTCAGATTTCTTGACCCAGGGAGGGGATGGGGGTACGATTGGCAATCAAAGTTTTAATGATCAAGTTTTACATGGGAATACATGTATATGCATATAGATAAAAGAATCTGCTATTGATAAACAAGAAGGGCAATTAATTACTCCTATGTGTTCCTTGTTATATGAAAGTTTTGCTGTTTTTAAAAATTATTCCTTTTTTTCATCATTTACACAGCAAAGTTATTTTGACTTGGAAATCATGCATTTTTTTGGCTGCTATTTCCTTGATTTATTTGCTTGTCTAATGGTTACTGATTGGGGAGGGGGGGGGGGGGGGTTATGCTAGAAATTTAAGTTGATGGGCTCAAATCACAGCTTAATGACAAGCAAATAAATTTGATTAAAAGGAAATTCTCCTGATGAAAAATTTTGCTTGGTTTGTTTCATGATTTTCAAGAACTAATGTAAATGATTTGTTGATTCTATTACAGGGTTTTTGAGCTATAAATAGAATCAAGATGGCAGAGTGTCCTACATCTTGTTCTGAAGATCAGGCATCAGATGATGAATCAACTGGTAGGTTAAGATGTAAATATTAAAGAAAATCTTTTGAATAGTATTCCGAAAGTAATTGATGAATTGAAAGGCACATTCCCAAGTTCCATAGTAGAAGTTCATGAATTCATTGTTTTACTTGTGTCAGATGACTTAAAAGAATGGAATTGTTAAACAACGATATACTTAGAACTTATGAAGGTATTATGTTTCCAAAGAGCTCCACTGTATGAGGCAAAGTCTCAAGTAAGCTTCTCTGATGAAATTTTGTGTGTCATCTGTCTGTGTGTTCCATAACTTTCAAGAACTACTGCATCAATTTAAATCATACTTAGCATAAGATATCCTTAGGGATTTTTTTTTTCAATCAAAGGGTTATGCCCTATTGAAACAAAACTGTCATTGGTCAAGAACCTCTGGATCAATTTCAACCAACTTGGTATAAAGTATAGTTAGAGATTCAATTTTCTTTTTGGAAGAAAGGTTCATGCTATTTTGAAACAATGGGCCACAGTGCTGACATGAATAACTTTAGCTCTGCTGTTCTTCAGAAAAAATTTTCAAATAGATTTTTATATTCCACTGAAAAACTGTGACCCAGTATCTATGCCCTACTATAATTCTGAGGGTCTTTGAATCCACACAACTTGGGGATATTCAATATCAGTTTCACTACATACCTTGCAGTTAATGAAAAGACAGTTCTTTTCCTGTATACATGCATTTTGTTAAACTAGATCCTTATTTTAGCCATCTCTAACTTCTGGTCCATAATTTAAAAAAAAATGATGTGTTTGGTGAAACACTGATGCCCCTCTATTAGTCAGGAGCATAATGCTAACAAGTTATTGTAAGAAATAACTCAAATGAGTTATTTTTTGTCACAATGAGTTACCTCTCTTTGCTATGACCTACTTTTTCCCAGCATTAGTAACTCAAACACATTGTCTTTCCAAAATAGTTTCAATAAAATAAGAACTTGTTTAAGTTATTTTGTGTCATTCCTTCCTAACTTCACACCCCATGCACCAAAGGTTTTTGCCCGTGCACCAAGACAAAAACAAATATTTGATAAAATTTAAACCTTGCTCAATCCAGAAAAATTGTTCAAAGTCTTGGGAAAAAAATTTTATTTAATGATAAAAATTTGACCTATAAGCCATGTAAATTAAACTACAAAATAAGGAGTAAAATGCTGTTTATCTCCACCTCCTCACCAATTCTCCATTGGAGTCAGTGCACTCCATCTAGTAGTACATAATGGAATCCCAAAATGCAATGCATATTGGCAGGAAATACAAAACTGTCCAAGTAGGATATTAAAATAACTTATTTAAGTTATTATTAAAAAACTTTGTGTGTGTAAAATAACTAATTTAGGTTATTTTTCTGATAACCTGTTTGCATTATGCCCCTGACTGTCTATGGAGCTTTTAGCCTGGGTTAAAGTAAAGTATATCAAACTCCAAGGTAAAGGTCATGAGATCAAAATATGTTAGTACCCAAAGACAGGTCTTGGTCTCAAGGAGTACACTTTTTATTCAGAAAGCGCAAGCATGAATAGTTCAGAAATTTTGTCCAAGATTAAATTATTTTCAGACAAACAGAAAGGAAGACAGAGAGTCAGAGCAAAAAGTATATTCTGCAGAATTTTAAATTACTGGGGCATTAAAATAAATCCACACAACATAGGAATATTATCAATGAACGGTTCTTGTGAAGATTTTCATATAAAACTATATTTCAAGTAAAACTTTGATCTACAATTGTGGCTCTTTCCTATCCATGGGGCCATGATTTCAACAATTTAAAATCTATATTATGTCAGGAAGCTTTTAAATAAGTTTTCTCTTTTTCTGATCCAGTTGTTCTTCAAAAGATTTTTAAAGAATTTATTCCAATGTACATTACTTTACTCAGTTGAGTTAGTTTTTGATAAAGCTGCAGTCTTCAAGGTGCACTGTCAGAGTAATGATGTGTCCTTGGTCCCTTTGATTGAATACATTTTTGTAATAAAAAGACTTTGTAGCATTCTTATAGATAACATGTCTTGATTGTAGAAAAGAAAAATCCTTTTGGGAATTCTGATACCTCAAACAGAGAGAACGAAACTCAGCAGCAGAGAATATTGAAGGTAAATAGATTTTATGGCCCAGTATTAATGTTCTCTAGTAATGACTGTGCCCATCTGTCTGGCAGTTATCAAATGACCTCCAAACTTGTATTCCTTCATGGTAGCTCAATTAGGCCGTAGAGCATTTGGTCTTGGGTTTGAATCCTGGCACCAACAATTTATGAGTCAACTATAAGTAGGTAGAAGCTGTTCTTTCAGCTAGCACTTCACACTTTGAGTTGATAGCTGTGAATGAGACTTAAAAGATCGAGGGCCTGTATGAATTACCTAAATGAACAATGTAAATGAAAAGATAAATAGAAGAGAGAAGGTCAAAGCAGTCAGATACTGTGCAATAGCTTTTCATCAATCTTTGTTAAAATTTTATAAAAATACATTATATTATATGTATCATCATCATCAAATTAAATAGAAGAATATTTTGATTTTAAAAAAATGGTACAATTTAAGAATATTGTTACTTGTAAATTATTTTTCTAAGAATTGAAAGCATTGTGCAGTGTATTTGATATCAATATTATTCATCACAGCCAAAATACTTTTTATTGTCTTGATTGGAAAATAAAAACAGCATTCGACTCTGTATTAAAATAAAAATAGTTTTATTACCAGTATATGTATTAAAAATTTGTATTACAATAAAAATTGTTTTATTTTATGTTTCAGTGATTAAATGATACAAATTTATGCAATCCATACCATCTTACTTATAGTTAGAATTCAAGATAACAAGGTTAAAAAAATAAAGAAAAAATGCTTGGGACTGTCAAATCATTTCGAAATATCTGTGTTTGAGACAACGAAGTTGAACAGTTACTGTATCTTTATTTTCTATTATAAATTTAAATATATCACCAAATGGTGTAACTTGAAATGTAAATCTCATTTATTTGCTTGCTTTCTCAAACAATGATATACAATGTAGAGAATTGATTTATGTAATCACTCAAGATGTTCCAATTTGTGTCCAAAACTGCTAAGATTGTCCCATCATGATCTGAAGTATTATAAACATCATCACCATGGTGCCTCTGGTAACCAAGATAACCAATGTTTAAGCTCCATTTTATCCTAAAATTCCCACAAATCTCTTAATCCCTTATTTACAATCAATAAATATCCATTTTATCCTAAAAGTCCCACAAATCTCTAAATCCCTTATTTACAATCAATAAATAGTCCTTCTAAAGCTAACTTAACTTTGTCAACTTTGTTTTGGATAACACAGTTTCACAAACCTTATTTTTTCCATCAGCTAGACATGGTCCAATAACAGATTGGATATATATAGCCATCTGTTCCTAAAACATCACTGGGTTTACAAGAGATCTTTAAATGTCAATCTTGTAAAAATGCAATTGCCACTTTTTTGAATTTGATGTAAGTGCCATAAAAAGTTGGAGATAATGAACAGTGATCGATCTCAAAAACTCACCATACAAGACAAATCTGTGAATAGGGCATAAACACAGACCCCCAGAAATACCAAAGGTGGGATCAGGTACCTAGGAGGAGGAAGCATCCACTTGATCCTTATGTTGCATGTTTAAATCCCACTGCTGGATGTGGAGACCACTCCTTCGGATGAAACTGTATAAATGTGTGTCGAAATACTTCCTGTCACAAAAAAAATCCCTCACTGCTAAATGGCCTTGGGTGTGGAGTATCGGTCTAAATTTGCAGCCCTTCATTGGCAAGTGGTGGCTTCTCAATATGTGTGAAAATTTTTCAAAAGAGATTTTAAGCAAACAAAAACCTACAAAAAATACAAACATGTTAACAACAAAAAAAAAACACAGGCCCACGGAAATTCTAGAGGTGGGATTAGGTGCCTATGAGGAGTAAGCATTCCCTGTCGACTGGTCTGAAACTCAGTTGCCAGATATTGTATTCAAGGAAAAACCGTACCCTTGAAGCTACTGTCCATAACTGAGTAGATTACATTTTTTTGTGTGTTTTTAACCTTTCTTCTTTTCCTGGGAAGACATCTATAAAATTGGCAACACTTTTTAGATTCTATATTATCTAGACAGAAAAAGGTATTTGCTAAGATTCAGGTCTGAGTAACATTCTCAGCACATGATGCACACATCATTAAAGGAGGGCAATACTGTAGCATCCATATTTATGTAAAAAATTATTATTATTAAGTATCCCAAACTGACTCTTTACGTAGATATTAAATAATGAGAAAGCGTTTTTGATAGTGCACTGTTGATAAGATGTTTAACATGTATTTCTGTAATTAATAAGACTAGTAATTTCAAGAACTGAGCACGCTAACTCTCGATTCCCGCCTACATTTTACACCCATTTAATTCAATACTAATGGCAATTTGGCCATAAAATCTTTGTTTAATGCAAAGAAGAGTTCAATGGTAATTGTTTAATAATTTTGATACCAATGTTAAACAGTTAATTACTCTTAATTCCAGCTGTTTTTATAAGGGGGTAGACAAAGTTTTACATTGAAATCAGGCTTGAAAGAATCACCACATATTAAAATATACTTGGATATGGATAAATGTTCCTTAAGTGTTTTCTTATGTTTTATTCATATAAAATTAAACACATATAATTGATAAAATACAATGTTTAAGTTGTAAACCCCTTCAAAATTGGTGAAAAAAATGAGCATTTTTGTTGGTTTTTCGTCTGTAAGCATATGTCCCCCGGTGAATTACCTAATTTTGTTTCACAGGGGTGGGGGTGGGGGTGGAGGGGGTGGGGGGGAGTAAAATATTTAAATATTTTCCATTTCCCGTTGGTTTCTATAGTGAAAAACACAAGTTTTACCGAAATTAAAGTGTTATCTCTCTTTATTTTCCCGAATAAGTAACGTTTTATGAAAATTCATATAAATATATCTATATAAATATGAAAAATCATTCAAATATGTTAACTTTCGAAAATTGACTTGGAAGTAGGCTGGAGAACAATACTATCGTTCGCAGTTCTTTTATGATTTTGCATCTTGTAAAATTGTGCAATAAATAGTATTTTTTCATTTTTTTTTACGGAATATTTTTATAACAGTACCTTGCGTACTGTTTATTTACTTACTGTATATGCTATGATTGATACAATTACAAAATACCATCAGAATTATTAATACCTAAACAAAGCATTAACGCATTTCTGTTTACTTTTTAGGAGGAACAATCGATCAGTTCATCTTTTCCACATATTCAAAGCGATTCTAAACACTTCTTAAACTTCTCTGTGAGCGACAAACAAACAGGGAATCTAGTAAGACATAACAGTACTCAATCAAGTAAAAATTGTCATGAATGTACCATCTGTGGGAAAATTTTAAGTCGTAAGGATCACTTAAAAACACACTTGATTACACATACTTGTGATCAACTTCATAAATGTGATGTGTGTGGGAAAAAGTTCAAGCATTCATATAGCTTACGTAGACACATGAAGATTCATACAGAAAATAAACCTTACAAATGTGATGTGTGTGGAAAGGCATTCAGCAAATCAGAAGAATTAGAGATACACATAGGAACTCATACTGGTGATAGACTATATAAATGTAATGAATGCGGAAAGGCATTTAAACGCACAGGTGACTTATATACACATATGATGATCCATACAGGTGATAAACCATACAAATGTGATGTTTGTGGAAAGGCATCCAACAATTCAAGTAACTTTCTCAAACATATGAGGATACATACAGGTGAGAAACCTTACAAATGTGAAGAGTGTGGAAAAGCTTTCTCTGATTCAAGTAGCTTAAAGAGACACATGAAAACACATACTTGTAATAAACTTTATAAATGTGTTGCTTGTGAGAGGGCATTCATTCAATCAAATAACTTACCGATGCGCACGATGAAGCATACAGGTGATAAACCTTATAGGTGTAATGGGTGTGGAAAGGCATTTGCTACAATGGTTTACCTACAGAGACACATTAGGGCACACATCGGTGATAAACCACCTGATAAATGTGATGTGTGTGGAAAGGCATTCAACAAGATACACAAAGGAACTCATACTGGTGATAAACTTTATAAATGTGATGTATGTGAAAAGGCATTTAAACGCTCAGATGTCTTATATGCACACTTGAGGATCCATACAGGTGATAAACCATTCAAATGTGATTTATGTGGAAAGGCATTCAGCAATTCAAGTAACGTTATCAAACACATGAGGATACATACAGGTGAAAAACCTTATAAATGTAATGTGTGCGAAAAGGCTTTCTCTGATTCGAGTAGCTTACAGAGACACTTGAAAACACATACTGGTATTAAACCTTATAAATGTGTTGTATGTAAGAAGGCATTTGTTCAATCAAATAACTTACAGATGCACATGATGAAGCATACAGGTGATAATCCAAATAGATGTGATGTGTGTGACAAGACATTCTTTCACTCAGGTAACTTGAAGAAACACATTTTGATACACACTGGTGATGAACCTCATGGGACGTCATTTAACCATTCAGGACACTTACAAGTTCACAAGAGGACACATACAAGTGATAAACCCTATAAGTGTGATGTGTGTGGCAAGGCTTTTGCTGCAGCATTTACCTTACAGCAACACAAGTGGACACATACGGATGATAAGCCTTATATATGTGATGTGTGTGGAAAGGGGTTTATTAGATTAGAAGCGTTACAGAAACACAAGGAGAAACATTCAGGTGAAAAGAAAACTGACATTTGTTACATGTATGTGTTTTGATAGTAATGAACTTTAAAGCTGGATAGTTTTTTTACTGTGAAAGTTTTTGTATACTTGAAGGATACTTAAAGGTGGAAGGCCTTGTAATTGTAATTCATGTGAGAAATCAAATGTTAAGGCACAATGAGGGATATGTCCATCATTTTATAATGTGGTATGTTTCAGATATGTGTCAGAGGTCAATAAATCGACGAGAAAGTTTAGAGGTTAACATAAGTACACATCAATGTGAAATACAAATGTAACAAAAAAACATGAGAAATTGATAGGGGCAGGGAGGTATGT